ACAACCTATCCAGCAAGGTACTCACCCAACCCCAACTTACCTTATTACAGCGGGATGCTGGGTATAATTTTATGGATGCTCGCGCTGGAGCCCACTATGCACCGTATCAGAGTGGGGGAGGAAGTGAAGAGCTCAATTAGACAACAAGTAACAGGGTTACTTATGAGCCATAGATATCATCAAACCTTGTCTGTAATAGAGTTAGAAGCCGTGAACCAACTCAAAAAAGATGATACCATCCTTCTACTGCCAGCCGATAAAGGGAGAGCCACTGTAGTCATGGATAGGGAGCAGTATTTGAGCAAGGCGTTAGATCTACTTCAAGGTACTACAGCCTACAGAGCCATAGATGGTGACCCCCATGACCACCCTCAAAAACAATGTCAATAAAGTGCTTGGCGCTCTGAAGCGTGCTAAAAGGTTGGATGAGACCACTCTCACAAGAGTGCGTCCCAGTGACACAGCGGTAGCCAGGTTCTATGGGCTACCGAAAATTCATAAGGAGGGAGTTCCCCTCCATCCCATAGTGTCATTTAGGAACACCCCCACCTCGGGCTTGGCCAAGTGGCTAAGCAATCGTATTGGCCACTTGGTCAAGGACAATCCTACCACCGTCAAGTCAGCGGAAGAATTCCTCAACAGTATTAGAACCCTGAGGGTGGAGGATGATGAGGTGATGGTGTCCTTTGACGTCATCTCCCTCTTCACCTCCATCCCTCAAGATCTGGCCATTACAGTGGTTAGGGACCTCCTTTATCATAAAGGCACAGGATCCCAACAGGATTCTCTCCGCCCTGAGGATATTATAGATCTATTGAGACTGTGCCTCAAGATGTACTTCACGTTTCAGAACACCACTTATGAGAAGGTTAAGGGTACCCCTATGGGATCACCGATCTCGAGCTTTATAGCAGAAGCCGTGCTACAGCAATTAGAATGCATAGCGATGGCCCGGTGCTGTCCCAAGTTCTGGGCCCGCTATGTAGACGATACCTTTGCTATTATCAAAAAGAGTCAAAAAGCTGATTTTGTGGGCATACTCAACTCAGTGTATGTCGACATCCAGTTCACTGAGGAGGTGGAGCACCAGGGAAAACTGGCATTTTTAGATGTGTTGGTGCATCGTCAGCCAGATGGAACCCTGGAGACACAAGTTTA